CACACACACACACAGTGTGTGTGTATACCATACCCACGGAGCTGGAATTACAGAAAGTTGTGGGCTACCCCATGTGGGTACTGGGAACTGAAGCCAGGTCCTCTGGAAGAGCAGTCAGTGCTCTTAAGCACCAAGCAATCTCTCCAGTCCCCTCATCCCCACCCCTTCTGAATAGACTATGTAGCCCAGACTGTTCCAAACTCACAATCCTCCTGCCTCTGACATTACATCCCACTCCATATGTCTCTTCTTTTCTACCCCTACCCTAGAGAGTGTACCTAGGGTACTAAGGTGTCCCTGGATACTGTCCCTGGCCCCTGTAGTATTAGAGAAGAGACAGCCCAGCCAATGTCACAGGGGGACTTTTTGGGAATAAGACTGGGCCTGGGTACAATTGCAGGCCTGTCATCCTGGACCCAGCTGACCCAACAGGCAACCTGGGCCACAGTGCCCGCTGGGACCTGCTTGCCAAGGAGGCTGCAGCCTACACATCTGCCCTGTGCTGTGTAGACAGGGACGGCAACCCCATCAAGCCATGGCCAGTAAAGGTAAGGGGCATGTAAGGCAGACAGAAGTGTCACAGACATGGGCATGGGCAGACATGGTCCTCCCTAAGGAGCAAGACCCAGCCATGGCCCCTGTGCTCCCTGTGCCTCCACTTCCTGTGTGGTGACTGATCTCAGCTCTGTGGAAAGGCTGAGGTAACAAGCATGTCTTCCTTCCCACAGGCCGCTGTGTGAAGTCCAGAAAGATCAGTGGTCACACCGGCTGACAGAAAGTGACACCAGCCAGCCCTCAGCAAGAAATACTCAGAGTATCTGGCCAGATGTGTGTGTGTGTGTGTGTGTGTGTGTGTGTGTGTATGTATCTGTGGTGTGTCTGCGTGTCTATATGTTTGTGTGTGTCTATGTATGTGTCTGTGGCATGTATCTGTGTATCTGTGGGTGTCTATATGTGTCTGTATATAAGTGTGTATGTATGTATTTGTGTCCATGTGTCTGTGTGTTTGTGTGTAGTGTGTCTATGGGTACATCTCTGTGTGTGTATCTATGTGTGTGTGTGTATGGTGTGTGTCTGTGTTTCTACGGGTGTCTATATGTGTCTGTATTATGTAAGTGTGTGTGTGTGTATGCGTGTTTATGTGTCTCTGTGTGTGCCTGTATGTTTGTATGTAGTGTGTCTGTAGGTGTACTTGTGCGTCTATAGGTACATATATATATACATATATACATATATATGTATATATACATATATATACATATGTATATATACATATATACATATGTATATATACATATACATATGTATATATATATATATGTCTTTGTGTGTCTATATGTCTCTGTGTATGTATGTTTGTATGTGTATGGTATGTATGTATGTATGTATGTATGCATGTATGTATGTATATGTTCTCTCACACCATCTCCCTTCTGCCCACCTGCCCACTGTGGTCCTCCCTTTCTTCCTACCATTTATCGCTTGCTTCATTGACCTCTACCGTGACCATCCCAGTGCCCCTGACTCCCATGCTAGACACCCTAGGAACCAGACATCTCTAAAACTGCCAGTTTGCTGTTCATCTACCCTGGGCTCTACCCTGACTTCCACAGGCCCACCCAGCAGCGCCCCAGCCCAGCCAAAAAGCCACATGCCTCCCTGGATCTTTCTGCCCCTCAAGTCTGTGTATACCCCTCTACCTGCAGAGACCCGCCAGCGGGGGTCCAACTATGTTCCCCAAGTAATGTGACCATGGCCTTCATGGGTCTGAAGTTGTGATGACTATAAAAGTACCTGGTCCACGGCCACCACAATGAAATGAGAAAAACATGTGGTAACTGGGCCTTAGGGATGAAGAAATGAGAAGGGTCTCCAGGCCTTGCCTGTGACTCCACTCGCTCCCTCAGGAGGAAGTTGGTGAAAGCTGAGGCTTTTGGATAATGCAATACTTAGGTCACCTACACGCCTGTAATCCCCCACCTCTACAAGTAACCCCAATAAACCCATCTGCTCATACACTTAGACTCAGGTGGAATCTTTTCCTTGCTCTGCCATTGTGCCTTGTCTGAGATGAACAGACATTTGGTTGATGTCTCCCCTGGAAAGGTCATGCCACACTGTCCTGCCCCCTGATGTCTGTTGTTCCCAAATGCAACGTAAACAAGGGTCCTGAGGGGGACGAGAAGGAATGGGTTTGCAAGCCCTTGATTCATAAGCCCGTTTTCCAACAAGAATCTTCACTTTTTGCCTCACTATGGGTAGACTATGGATAGTGTTTGTCCCTCATTCCCTGATCCCCACAAGGACCAGAATGACGCCAGAAGGTCTCCAGGACAAATGTCTACTTGTCTGTCTTACAAAGGAGAAAGCCTCCAATCCCCTAGTGACTAAGTGACATCTAGGAACCAGAGGGTAGAGGACAGGGAGACATATCCTATGAATGTCCCAACCTGGAGACAGAGAAAGCAAGTGGCAGATGCTGGGGCAGTGTGGCCACATCAGGATCCTCGAGAGGAACCACCTGAGGGGTGGATGTAGTAGTGATTCATCCCCAGGAGAGGAATCAGAGAAAGGAGTCTGTGCAAAACCGTCTCCCACCAGGAGCATCTCAGACAGCCCGGCTCTGCCTGGACCACTGCTGGAGACAGACCAACAGGGAGGGATGTAGGATGGTGAAGAGATCAGAGCCTTCCTAGTACCTTCATCCTTGCAATCCATTCCTGCCTCCTCAGCTTAGCCTGAGGAGGATTCCCCAGGTCTCCTCTCTGCCGCCACCTGAGCCTCCTGTTCTTGGCTCCAGGCAGTACCAAGACTGCACTAGGGTTAATCCCAACCTCACTCTGCCTAGTCAAATCAGTGAGTATCCAAACCAGACCCCACATTATGTCTCCTGATGGCCGCTATTCTCAGAGCTCTAGGCCAATGGTTCTTACCTTCCCAACACTGCCACCCTTTAATACAGTTCCGGGTACTCCCATGCGGGCGTATTGACCCGCCTGGAGACAGAAGAGAGGTATCTCAGTTATGGTCTTAACCATTGGAAAAATGTGTTTTCGGATAATCTTAGGTGACCCCTGTGAAGGAGATGTTCGATCCCTGAAGGGTGGAGACCCACAAACTGAAAACTGCTGCTTTAGACAGATATGACCAGCGGAGACCTGTTTTTCCGTGGAGCCTGGCAGCAGCTGGGGCACCCGCCTAGCATCCCAGCATGAAAAGAAACAGGAGGCAGGTCGTTGTTAAGAGCCACAGTGTTATACATTGTTGTTATTAAGTCTCCACACCACACAAGAACTTTGTTTCCTAAACCGAACACATCCTGCAAACCATGTATTCAACCTACGCTGAACTTGTAACCCAGGAGGGTTTTTACCCACCCCTCTGCCTTGCTAACTGCCTGAACATCCATAGTGACTCCCACGTGATGTCTTCTTGCACTTACCTACCCCACAGGCAGCCTTGAGTCCTAACCCCCCCCCATTATCCCAGTGCTAACAGCCAATTGACTCAACAAATGTATCAACCCTAACCCTTCCCCATAAAAGGGACCTCAAAAGCCACTCTGTAAACCCCAAATTAGGGGGATGCACTCGTCTGGCCTGTCCCCTTGGGCACTGGCTTTAGTCAGACAGCAATGGGAATGGTTTTTTTCCCTCAGGTCTAGTGCCAGCCCTTGTCCCCACCACACAGATTCTAGACTCTCTTGTCAAAATGGCTCCAGAATTGGGGTGAGACCGTGAGACAGAGTGAGGAGTGAGGTGACAGTCATCAGGGCAGAGGAAAGAGAGGCCTTACTGACCTGACCTCCGCAGTCTCCAAGAACGGAACGGGCCCGCATAGTGGCAGCGGAATGATACAGTTAAGCTTGATTCAGGCCACAGCCCCGGGGAGGAGGTCCAGCGAGGCATTGCGAGGGCTGGGTGAGGTGATGCTCATATTCAATCCCCAGCACTCAGGAAGCTGAGGCAGGGTCCCTGAGAGCTGCTAGCGCCCCCCTGTGGCCATTTTCTGTCTATGGCCTCACTCAGAGGAACTGCACGAACCCTGCTGCTTTCAGGAATCCTTTGCCGGAGCCAATACTTTGTTGTGACTACAGGCACTTTGTTAGACTCCGAGGTGGCTTCTCAACACAAAGTCACTGTGACTTTCCCAGTGAGGGTCCCAGGAAGCCATCTGCCACATAGGACAGCCACACACAATGTGCCATCCGACCATGGAAGAAGATGTTCTACATAACAGTTTGTGAGAGGCTGAGGCAGGGGGATTACCAGCTCAAGACCAGTTTGGGCTAGATAACAAGGCTCTATCTCGATAGTAACCCATAATAATTGTGTTGAATTGTTGGAGTTTCTTTTTGTTTTTAATTTTTAAATATTTACTTTTTAACACTCTGTGTGTGTGTGTGTGTGTGTGTGTGTGCACGCGTGTGTGTGTTGGGGGGCTACTCTTGACTCTTCGGGGCCCTATGTTGACCCAAAGGCAGAAAGGAAGCCTACATCTATCTATCAGGGCACCTGTCTTGCTGTGCATCTTTAAGCAAGTCAGTGCCTTCTCTGAGCTCTTTCTGTCTGCCCTGTCTGTCACTGAATGCTCCAGCCACTGGAAACAGGAGGGCAGGGCATTATGTTAATGGATGGACCCTATCCTCAACAAAATCAAATTAGCTTAGCGTTTAGCCAGCCAGCTTTCTGCCAAATGTTTTGTTATTTCTTGAGACAGGTTCTTCCTAGCTATAGGTAGAGGAAACAGAGACACCAAGGAGACAGTCCTACACTGAAGGATGCAAACACTGGCCTCTGTAATGTCCCCTGAGGTGCTAGAGGCTTTAAGTTTAAGCTGGGGTGTTCTTGGGAGTGGCCAGTCAGCTGGAAGCAATACACACACACACACACACACACACCAGCTGCTGGGCAGTGAGTCACGCACTTGAGTTTCGATTTCCTAGGCTTGGCTGTGTTGGGGGTGGGGCTTTGGACTTGATTTCCTCTTTCTAGAAACGCGGGTGCAGGGCAGAAGCCCCAGAACCTGAGCTACAGTACTCTGCCTCTGCAATTCAGAAGGCCAGCTAGCAACTATGGGAAACTGGCTGTCCGACTGGTCATCTGACGGGTCTTTGGGGGTGCCCTCCAGGCCAGTGCACAAGCAAGAAGAGTCTATCCAGGCAAACCTCCAACCCAATGAAAAATGTCTGAAGCAGACTGGGGTGACTTTGGTGCCAGCACACAAGCTAGAAGAGTATATCCAGGCAAACCTCCAACCCTACGAAGAATCTCTGAGGCAGATAGACCAGGAGGTGGATGTCATTCGTTGCCTGCTCAGTATGGGGAACCTTGTGATGGGAGTGGCTAAGGTGAGACTCAGGGTTGGGGCCAGGACTCTGGATCCCAGGAGAGTTCACTGTCCCCGCAGGTGGCAGTGCTCAGTATTGTTCCACGCCAGACCCAGGGGACTGGACTTCAAAGGCTTTCCTCTGAGGACAGACAGTGCAGGGGCCCAAGCTGCTGCCAGGTCTTCCTCCGCCTGGCTGCATGTTTTACCTCTCTGTGCCTCAGTATCCTGATCTGCAGAATGAAGTCAGTCTAGACCCCACTTCAGAGTGTTGTGACAGTGAGCACACAGTGTTCTTAGCACAAAGACCACTGTTATCATGCTCGGTGAATTGCCAGGGACTGACCACATGCATTTGTGCTTTGCTGTGTAGTGTCTTTGACTCCACATTTGTGAGATTTTTTTTCATGTATCTATTTTCATGCCTGCATAGTACTCCACTGTATCTATTTTTTTTTCATGCCTGTATAGTACTCTCTCTGCTGTGCTATTTGTTCATCTCATTGCAGTTTTGACTCCAGTTTGGAGCTAGCATGCAAGACATGGACACAAATTGGTGCTGGCAACCTGATTTTAAAATGACAGTGACATTGGGGAGATTTCACTTGGTTTAAGAAATGTCACCACTGGAGCTACAGAAGGTCTAGATTTCACAACTGCCCCTCCATTCCCTGCAGGGTGGCTCCTATGGCCGGGAAACAGTCCTGAGAGGCTGCTCCGATGGTACTCTTGTTCTCTTCACGGATCACTTCCGAAAGTTCCAGGATCAGAAGGAATACCAAGATAATCTCCTTGACTTGTTTGAACAACAGCTGAAAAGCCATGAGAAATACAAGAAATCAGTAAAGCGTGGAGACGCCCTGGTGGTACAAGTGTCTAAACCAGGGCAGAGTATACTCTTGCAGTTACTTCCAGCCTACAATCCTCTGAGTGAGTGATCTGGGGACTGGAGGGGGGTCCAAACATTCTGAGAGTCCTGGGAGGCCACTGGGGTCCTATGGGCTGAGGTGGTTTCCAAAATGGGGCTTGTGAATTCCTGTCTTAGTCACTGGTCGGTTGCTGGGAAGAGACACCATGACCAAAACAACTCTTATAAAAAGAAGTGTTTAACTGAAGGCTGGTTTCGAGTTTCCGAGGGTTAGTCCCTTATCATCATGGTGGGAAACAGACAGGCATAGTGTTGGAGCAATAGCTGAGAGGTTCATATCCTGATTCATAGGCAGATGGCAGAAAGAGAGGACGCTGGGCCTGGCATGGGCTTTTGAAACTTCAAAGCCCCACCCCCAGCAGCACACTCCTCCAGCAAGGACACACCTCCTAATCCTTCCCAAACAGTTCATCAAGTGGGGACTAAGCGTGCAAAGATAACAATCCTCTGGGGTCCATTCTCATTCAAACCACCACAAACCCTAAAGAGACACAAGCCTCCTTCCCTAGGTGTACTCTGACTAGAGCTTCATTCTCTTCTCATTGGCTTTGGATACAATGTTCTAAACGCTTGAACCTAAAGGAGAGCCTTTATAAGTGAGAGGATGGATGAGTGATGGGTGGATGGATGTAGGGATAGGTGTATGTGGATGTGGATGGATGGATGGATGGATGGATGTGTGGACAGATGGAAAATGGATAGATGGATGAATGGATGAGTGGTTGAGTGGATGGTTGGATGGATGGATAGATGGATAGATGGATGGATGGATGGGTGGTTGAGTGGATGGATGGATGGATGGATGGATGGATGGATGGATGGTTGAGTGGATGGATGGATGGATGGATGGATGGATGGATAGATGGATGGATGTGTGGACAGATGGAAAATGGATAGATGGATGAATGGATGAGTGGTTGAGTGGATGGATGGATGGATGGATGGTTGAGTGGATGGATGGATGAATGGATGGTTGAGTGGATGGTTGGATGGATGGATGGATGGATGGATGGATGGATGGGTGGATGGATGGATGGATGTGTGGACAGATGGAAAAATGTATGGATGTAGGGATGGACAGATAGACGGATGGGAAAACAGAAGCACAGGAATGTATTGTGGCCATTATGCCATCGGTGGACTCCACTAGGCTGACAGCCCAGGACTTCTGTGCTGGAGGCCAGAGTCCCTTCATTGTCCACAATTCTAAGAAACTTCTGGGTTACTGAACCCTTGAGTGACCACCACCTGACCATTCTCTGACAAGATGGGGCTGTACACACACCCACATGATGGCATTTCCAGAAAGGTGGCATCCCTGGGCCCCTCCCATCTTAGGATTTGAGGGTGAAATGTCCCTACAGGCTCATGTGTTTGAACACTTGGTCCCAGCTTGTGGTGCTCATTCGAGAGGGTGTGGACTGCCCCAGTCCCACGAGGCATTAAACTGGGATCAGAAGAGCTGGAAGAGAGATCTGGAAGACAGGGAACACAAACAGCGGACGGCTTGTCTATAGTCTGATCAAACCACCGATTTTAATTTTTTCACACAGGGGTTATATACACATAGAGGCAGGATGTGGGGAAGGGGATGATGCAGGAGTGTGGGTGTTCTCATGGGGAGTACAGATATCTTCCAGAACAGGGTATGGGCTGGGTGAAGAAGCAGGGAACAGGTCACTATGACTGTTTATGATTCATTTGTCCTTATCTAAGTTGGTACCCTCCTCCCAAGGCTACCTATCCACAAGACCTATGACTACTTGTTCTTATCTAGGCTGGTCGTTTTCCACCAAGGCTGCCTGTTTGCAAGATCTTAGAGCTATCTGTTCTAGGGTTAGTGTTTTTTCATAGAGACCAAGACTTTGTGTTAGCAGGCATGTATGGCTGTCCTGGGCCTGTGGCTGATTTAGGCCTTCAGTGTACAAGCAAAATTGCTCCTGACAGTGGAGAGGAAGTGGGGGGCTGGGAAGTGAGCCTTGAGGGCTTCCAACCCCACTTCCAGTCTGTGTTTGCTTCCTGGTCCTGTAGCCATATCTTCCCTACCATGATGGTTGCACCCTCCAACAGTGAGCCAGAAGAAAGACATCCCTCTTCCAACCAGAAAAGTGACTGACACATGACCCTGTGGGTCCCTTGTCACCAAATCTAAGATCAGAGCAACCAGCTAACAGGTTCGTTTAGTTGTAAAGGTGTGCCTGCCTTGAAAGGGCTACAGGAAATCCTGGGCTCTCTCTTCTGATCCGCAGAGCCTGGTGTTAGGAGTCCAGCCCAACCCACCCTCTGCTGCCTTGACCCAATCAAGGAAGGTGCTGAGAGAAATGAACTCTCCGCATGTAGTACTGGATGATGCCGCCAGATGGCGACAGATTTGCATCTTCCAAAATAAGACTGAATTACAAGAAAGCAATAACTGTTGCTGAGGAAATAAGACCCTACAAGGGGCCTCAGAAATCCCTTCCTTTACTAGATAAAAGGCCAATTAACCTAGTCTACTTGTCTCTACCAGGTCAGGTAGGCTGCTATGGCCACGGTTTCTGTAGTTGTGGTAGTTGTGCCCCATATGAGGTTTATAAGACTTACGCGTTACATTGTTGCATAAAGAACTTCAACTATGCCTGGTATATAGTTGCTAGTCAATAAATGGCTAGGGCACGTGCCCAGTTCCTTGCTGGGGAGTCTATATGATTCCTTGCCCAAAGCTGTGTACCTAAATATATTTATGAACAGCAGAGCTCGGTGAACAAATATGGAAACTAATTGGTTCGTGCATCTCCCGTTCCCTGCTCCTGTCACCTCGAGGTGCCCGAGTCTATTGTAAGAGAGATCGGTAGATGTCACTCTGTGACACAGATGTATGTAGTTGTGCCCAAACATTTCGCTTTGGTATTAATCAGAGGCCTTTATTTCTCATGTGTAATTTACCGCCTTATGCCCTGTGTGGTTCCACTGATTCTGTCTTGGGCACACGCGCGCGCGCGCACACACACACACACGCATACTACCTTCATTTTAGTCTTTATTGTCCGTCAAGGAGGATATCCCCACTGTTAGCTTTCCCAAAGAGCTATCTGCCATCTCGCAGATCGGGCAACAGACGATCTTCCCACCTCGAGCTGAGATTCTATCCCATCAGGCTTCAGTAAGAATCCTAGCTCCTGTGTCTATCTGTGTAGTGGGAGGTATTAGAAAAGAAGTGTCTGGCTTGCTCCCGGCTTAGCCTCCAAGTTCCTGCACTAATGTCGGCTACCAGCGGGCTGCCTGGCCCTATCCAGGTGTCCTCATCTGGTCAGGCTCTCCTGCCAGGTTGGAGTTCCCAAATTCCCTTCGCGGCCCCGCTAGCCCCACGCAACGACCATCCACCCCGCGATCAGCCACCACATTACCCATCACCTGGCAAAAATCAAAACTCTTAATGCTATAGTTAACCAATGGATTTAATATATCTGGTAAATCTCAATAACCAAGATGCCCACACAATCAGACAAGTTATCTCAATTATCCTAACCTTATGATATCCATAATCACCTGAGACCACAAAAACCACGCGAGTTCACTGCCATTTTCCGCAGCATCCCCCCCCCCCACATTCTCCCGGCATTCCTGTCTCTGCCACCCTTAGCTCCGCCTTCCTTTTCCCTATCCAGTCATAGGCCTCCCGCTGCAAACAGTCTATCTGAATCTCAAAAAATCCATGGATGGAGTAGGAGCCTCACCAGGGGAGTTCTCAGACTGCTTCACCACACTGCAGTGGCAGTTTTTCAAGAAATACCCCAGAAGGCTGAAGGATTTGATCCTATTGGTCAAGCACTGGTACGAACAGGTAATGTATGTTGTTGTCTTGTTTTACAGAGGGTCTCAGTCTGGCCTAGAACTCACTCTGTAGACCAGGCTGGCCTCAAATTCAGAGATCCACATGCCTCTGCCTCTCTGCCTCTCTGCCTCTCTGCCTCTCTGCCTCTCTGCC